AAGGGGATCCACTAGTATCAGACATGCTAGAGTTGCCGATCATTGATATTAAACATCTTATTGTGATTTTTTTTAAAACTAAGTTAATAATATATTAAAATAATATTCTTATTTATTTATCAAAATTTATTTTTAACATCATCATATTAAAATAATTTAAAACTAGAAAAATAAACAAGATCTTAATTCAGTCCAGCTTAACATGTTAATCAAGTAACATTTTAATTTGAATTATGGTTTTTTAATTGTTTTGAATATCAACCTAATTAAAGTTGAGTAGTTCAGCGAGTCAGCCAACAATTCGGTTGACTTGGTAAGTTATCATAAAATTAATCGGTACATTTCAATAGCTTTTTTATATATTCTATCCAAAACAAAGTATTTTAGTGTTTTTTATTCTATTTTTTTCTATTTAAAAAGACCACTAAAACAACATTTTAGGATTATTCTAGTTGGACATGTGATCTAGAGGTTGACTGGACCCAAATCTCTATCCAGAGCAAGACACAAGCCGAGTAATCCCTAGCCAGAGCATACCATAAGCTGACCATGGACAACGATGCCCGTGGTGCCTGCATATATATATATATATATATATATATATGAACGGTAACTTTCATTGAAGAAAAGTCAATGATAGACAAATTGAAGTCGTGCATAACTGTTAATACTCGTCGTCTTTTTAACCATGAATCCATGCTTGATTAGATCCTGTCCCGTGCGGTCATGATTTTTAGTGTAGTGGATTTCGAAATCATAGTTTACAATGAATGCAAATAGAACACTCGCATCCGGGGATTTTTGAACTCATCTTATTTCTCGAATCTATTCCATTTCGAACATCTTTCGAGGCACGGCGGATCGAGTTTTCAGACTCGGGATGATTTGCTGGAGCTAAGATGTTCCGAAAACAACGAACAAGATGATAATCTCGAAAGATTATCAGACACAAAGAAAACACGGTATTGTTTCCTTGGTTGTCATGTCCCCAAGCCAGTCATTTTATTTAAAACGATGATGTTTTAGTATTTAAAAAAAAAAATCTTAAATTTGACTATATCTAATTATTGGGTCACGGATTAAACCATTAGATAGCCTAGATTTAGCTATTTAGTTATTAAGTGGTTAGATTTAATAATATTTATATTATATTTATTATTAATCTGGTAAAATAACTATTTATATATATATATATAAAAAAAGTCTCTTATTTATATCGTCTACATCGTATTTAGATTAACATCTATAATTGAAAATATAAAATAAATACAAGATCAGAGAATATTTGAGTTAGAACATAACATGCCCATGCGATAATGACAATTAACAATCATACCCAATAATTAAACATAATATTCATATGGCTTACACGAGAGAAAAATCTAAACCTGAATTTCTAATCATGAAAAGGAAATTACACACACGTGTGTGTGTAACCCATGAGGGCACCCACCCGGTAACCTCTCTCGGACACGAGAACTGGCGGTGTGAAGTTTAGGATGGGAGATTTTGCCGTCTACGCTCCAACTCTCAAGAAGAAAAGTCAAAATTAAAAAGAAAATCCCGAGAAGATATTAAGTAAATACTAAACTGCAAGGTTTTCACTGTATTTCATTCGTGGTAAAATGTACCTGGAATTATAGAATTATAATATGAAATTATTTTTTTTTACCTTGATTAAATTTTGAATTGAGGGTTACACATAGTTAATTTTTCATTCTTTATTTGTTTGGGACAGCACTATTTTTTTTAATAACAATGCAATTATTGTATTTCTACTAAAAATTAAATAATCAAAACATTTGATTTAGTGATCGCATATTAATTTTAATTTTGTTATGAATAATTAAATTACACGGGCATCCTTGTTATGTAAATTTATTAGCCTTGGTTTCGTATAGTTGATTGTCATTTTTTTATGCTTCCTTTGTTATTGTTATTTAATAATAGAGACATTTTTATTTTTATTTTATTTTATAAATAATCAAACCACTCTGCCATTCAAATTTTTTAGTCTTACTTTCAGGGGCTTTATTGTAATTTTTTTGTTATTATTGTTTAGTTAGGAAACATTTTTAGTTTTGTGCACATAAAAAAAATTTATTAACACGTATTAGTTATTACGCCGCCTTCCAGTGGCATGTATAACTGATAATAATAATTGAAATCAAGCTTCCATCACATCATTTAATGTCCTATTCCTTTCATGATAACATATGTACAGTAGTGAGATCTGATTTGGCGTTAATTAGCTTCTTCTTTTTTCCTTTTTTTTTTCTTTTCTTCCTTTCTTGGATTATGTACTTGTTATTCAAAAAATTATATCAGCTCTTTCATTTCTTTTTACTCTTGATTCGGTTATTCTTCTCTTAATTATAATTATTTTATTTACATTAATTATTTATAATTGAATTTTATTTTTTAATTTCATGATTGATTGTTTGATTTTGTTAGTTTTTTTTATTAAATTTGATATTTATTCTTTTAATTGATTTTTTCTAATCATTTCCTTGATTTTTTTTTTATTTTTCTTTGATTCCATTTTTAAATATTTTTTTTTATTGAATCTTTATGTCAGGTTTAGTGCCAAATATTTTAATTATTAATTTTTTTTGTTTAATTCCATTCATAAACATTTAATTTCATTTGAATTTTCCCCTGACATTTAATTTCAATTAGTTTTATGTTGAATCTAGTCTCATCCTTTTAATTGCTATTTATTTTATTTTTACATTGTTTTTTTATTGATTTTTTTTCTAGGTTCCATACCTCAATATTTGTTTGGTTACAAATTTTGCTTCTTTGTTTATTTTAAACTTGCTTTTAATGGGGTTGTCCTGATTTCATGACATGAATTATGAATTTTAAAAAGTGATGTAGATTGACTTTGATCATTTTTTCAAAAAAAAAATCATCGGTGTTTTTACTCGCTTTGCTATTTTCAAAGTCGTCCCACTTTCATATCGTAGGTCATGTGCTTGACTTGTTTACTCGGGTTGATTGTCAAGTTCATCCAAGTTTTTTTTAATTATTTTTCATATGTTTTTATCATATCGGCAAGTGTCTATGGCTCTAGTTTTTTTTTTTTTTGATATGTTCAACCTTTGGTGATATTTTTTATGGTATGATTTTATTCAATTATTTTTGTTTGTATTTATCATTTAAGTAACAAGTTTTTATAATAGATTTATCTTTTATTTATTCAAATAAAAAAACTTAGTAAACATGATCAAGCAAATATTCCATATTTACAATTTATTTCTTGGTTATTATTAATGATATTTTTTTATTTACATAAATAGTTGATAATTTATTTAGTTAGATGATTGCATATATTTTTCAAGTGAAACTTTTAATTTTTTATGTAAAAATACATTTAAGAGAAGTATGCATGCTTAATACTTTTTTTTTTAAAAAAATATTATAACCTGCATACTAAATTCATGGTTTTAATATTTTTCTAGTTCTTTATTTTTCATATCCACACATTTTTTGAAAAAAAAATTGTTTATTTTTTTATTTTTTACACTTGGCATATTTATATTATTATTTTATTTTATTTTCTTAATATTGTTTTACATTTTTTAAAATTTACTGCACATAAATTTAAAAAATTATGTTTTACTATAATAATTATAACATTATTTTATTTTTTAGTTAAAGTACTTGTGTGATGTGATGTTGAAAGTGTTTTTTAAAATATTTTTAATTAAAAATATATCAAAAAATATTTTTTATATATTATATTTTTATTTTTAAAATCAACACAGTAAAACAATTAAAAAATATTAAAAAAGGCACCCGCTAGTAATCAGAAACGAGAAATGAAGGTGTCAAACTCTGGATGGAAGACTATGCCGTCAACGCTTAATTATAAAGAAAAGTCAAAATTAAAAAGAAAATCCCGAGAAGATATAATTATATATTTACAGTAAAGTCCCTCATCATTACCGTATTTTTAGTACTAGTAAAATAGAATTAAGTAATAATATATATATAAAAAAAGCCGCAAAATTTCGAGGCGCTTTCTCTCCACGTTCGACAAACCAAACAGAACAGATCCTCTTTCCATCCCAGCTTCTCTCCTCGTCAACAACGTTGTTAAGAAATCAAAATCCCCTGTTTTTCAAGCTCAAATAAAACTAAAAGAAAAGGAATATGAACTTCTTCAGCAAAAAACCAAGCCCTAAAGGTGCGATCATGCCCCAACTCTCCCTGTTAAATCAATCCCATGACTGTTTGCTTGATTATCTTTGTCTATTGTTGTATCTGTGCAATCACTCGAGTTTGTTGATTTTCTTTGACGAATCAAGCGATCTCTTTGGGTTGTGCAGAGGCTCTTCGAGATAGCAAGAGAGAAATGCAACATGCTACTAGAGGTATTGCATTGCTCTTTATCTGTTTTTAGCCAATTTGGCTCTCAGCATTCGAATACCATGCCAGATTGTATACAAAGACGATCAAATTCTTTTCTTGTTGCTTTTTCCTCCCTTAATACTCAAGCTAATTCGTGATCAAATTCTCTCTCTTCTTGTTTTTCTTTCAAGCACACAAGAAGCTCAAACGTGTCGTGTTTCCCTTAGCAAAATTTTCAGCTGGAGTGTCTAGATTTAAGAACATAGTGCCGCCGCCTTTTATTTTCTGGACTATAAAGTGAAATGGGTTGGCCTGTTAGATGTTGAAACCTGATGGGGTGGCATTGGATTATGGTTTTAGATACCATTCAAGCTACCTTAGAGCACGCCCTCCTTTGGGAAGTTGAACGATTGTCGATAATGATGACCTAGGGTGGAAGAGATGGTGGGAACTTCTATGGCGATGCTAAAGTATTCCGATTTGCAAACTTAGCCTGCCATCATGTGAAGATGAGATCTTCTCTAATAAAAAACAAAGCAAAAAGAATGATACAGTTTCCTTTCATATGGAGACTCTATTAGAGATAGACTAGAGCTTCTGCGGGACTGTACCAGTGCATCAAACCTATTAAATGAAAGAATAAGTTTGGAAAGCAGACGTTTTTGTAAAGCTCTTAATTTGGTCCTTCTTAGACTGCCAAGAGCATAGGGTTCTTTAAATGGTTTTTGGGTGTGGCGGGCACTGTCATTTTATGTTCTTTATGTCATTGGATTCCGAGACATAAGTTATGGAGAGATCTTACGATTAACATCCTGCTGGATTATGAGGCTAGAAATTTCTTTGAATCTCACGCTATTGTTTTACCTTGATTCAGGTATAGAGAGGGAAATCGGAGCATTGCAGCTAGAAGTAATCAAATGTTGTTGAATGGTGATCTCTTTTCACACTTTCTCTGTTCGATTAGATCTTAACATATTTGTTATCTTTTTAGGAAAAGAAGCTTGTTGCGGAGATAAAACGGACAGCTAAGACTGGAAATGATGTATGTTGCTTTGATATGGATTTTCCTCATTGCTAGAAGACTTGAGTTTCTGTGTTATATAACTGTTCCTAAACAATATTAAATTTATATTCCTTCAATAACAATACTGAACTTTGTGTTCTTCTACTTAGGAGCCAGATGTAGATTTGTTGTTCTAGTAGTTTTTAAAAATCAATCTAGTGCTTTACATTCAATGGAGATCATTTTACCCAAATTTTCAGAAGTCTTGAAGCTTGTTGACGAGCATGATTGCCCTCAAACAGCCACCTAATGAACTCTTTTCAATTCTTTTTTTTTTCCGGGCTATGCATTTTGCAGGCAGCAACTAAAATTTTAGCCCGGCAGCTAATCAGGCTTAGGCAGCAAATAGCTAACTTACAAGGCAGTCGAGCTCAAATGAGAGGCATAGCGACTCATACTCAGGTATGATGTAAAACCGTGTCTTTTTTTATCTGTACTGAGGGAATGGGTGTGGATTGCTCTTCGTAGTGCATGCACAATGTGCTCTTAACAATGTTCATCTGCTTTGCCAGGCAATGCATGCTCAGTCTTCAGTTGCTGTTGGTTTAAAAGGTGCCAGTAAGGCAATGGAAGCTATGAATAAGGTTAGTCATGGATTCATAGTATATGTAAGTGTTAATATTGATTGAATGTTAGATTAATATCCACATATTTCAAGATGCAAGATCTCTTTAATTTGAAAGCATTTTGATGAAAACAGTACATGAGTTCTTCTGTGTTTTTTTTTAACAATATTTATTTCATTAGTATACAAATCAGAACTTCAAATTTCATATGTTTGCTTTGTTTTGGGGCAATGCTGATGACTGTTATGATTTAATTGCAGCAAATGGCGCCTGCAAAGCAAATGAAGGTTATAAGAGAGTTTCAGAAGCAGTCAGCACAAATGGATATGACTGTAAGATCATGCTTTTAGCTCTAAATAATCTACCATGATAGGAAGTTCATGATTGTCAATTCTTTTCGTTCATTAGTGTTGATCACTCTTACTTTTCCATACAGACTGAAATGATGTCGGATGCCATAGACGATGCCTTGGATAACGATGAGGCTGAAGAGGAGACTGAAGAGCTGACGAATCAGGTATTGTAATTATTGATGTAATATGAAGATCTTCTAAAATAAGCTGGGAGTCTAGAAGTGCGTTATGCTCGTGGTTGCATGCATTTGCTTTACTGTTGTGTTGACTGGATTATTTTAAGTCATTAAGTGTTGATTTTTCTGTTTTTCTGGTTATATAACTGGAAAGCCAAGGAGCAGAAGATCCTATATGGTGCCCAATAATTTACAACCCTCCACGCCCCCCCTCCCCACCATTAGGAAATCATTCTTTATGAATTCATTCAGTATCTATCGGACTTCAAAACAAAGAACTGATTACCTTTTTTCCTTTTTGATTTTTCTTTCAGGTGCTGGATGAAATTGGTGTTGATGTTGCCTCACAGGTTGGTGTTAATTGTAATTCTTTATACAAACGTTGTTTGCTGTGATTATTTTCCTATTCATAATGCTAACCTGAACTATATTTGGCAGTTGTCAGCGGCACCAAAGGGTAAAATCACAGGGAAGAATAGAGAGGATGCCAGCAGGTATTTTTCTGCTCTGAATTTTCCTTATCAAACAATGAAAAAATTCACATAAAACCAATCTACCAATGGCTTTTAAACCAAGATGCACTTATTGGAACAAGGGCATGATTCGGACCTCTGATCTTGGGGAATGATGGGCTTTAGCTTTTCTCTTATTACTAATGGAATCAAACAGTTTCCAAATAACTGAATAAAGAGGAAAAGGAAAATTCCTTTTTTTTCTATGTTTATTCATCATTTGTTTCCTTTTTGCAGTTCTGGCATTGACGAGCTAGAGAAACGTTTGGCAGCCATGAGAAACCCTTTAGATGACCATCCTGCATTTTGAAGGCTTCCCTCGTAATTTGATTCTTCACGGGGCTGTATTCTGTAGGCATTTTTTTTTCTTTTCCAAACCCATGTTTCCCCTCAATGTTACTCATTTGCTTGCAGGTTCTGATAATTTGAGACACCTTGTTGAACTGGATTAATATCTTATGCACAATGTTATCTTAACATTCCATAATTTGATTTCTTCCTGGGGCTGTATTCTGTAGGCATTTCTTCTTTTTTTCTTTTCCAAACCCATGTTTCCCCTCAATGTTACTCATTTGCTTGCAGGTTCTGATAATTTGAGACACCTTGTTGATCTGGATTAATGTCTATGTGCACAATGTTATAAAAAATGAAAAAATTATAACGTCTCCACTCTGAATTGAAATACCATCCTTGTGCGAGAACATACAGCCAATTCACAGCAACCACACGCCTGTCATCAAAACAAAAACCCAATCAGTTCTAGTCGCTGAATTCCACATAAAATAGAGGATTGTGGTTTGAATCAGGAGAATTGACGAACCAAGGAGGTCTAATGCAGAAAAGACCATGGCTTTGGAATAAGCAGCTTTGGAGAAGAAGGGGCATGGAGGACGACAGAGAGGGAGGGATGGTAAGGCCATTAAAGCAATCAAAACGGGCAAGGCCATTTTAATTTTTTCATGGGCAAAGAGCCTGTTCTATTTTAAATCATTTAAACTTGTGTTGGCCCAGTGGAGCTATCGAAATATCATCTGCTGTTGTCACCTGAGTGAAGCATCGAAGGTTAAACTAACGTGGAGTTTCGAATTTCCCCGATGGAGAAACAACATAACAGTTGTGTTTGCATTAGGATGACATGAATAAACTAGCAAGGAATGAGAGATCCATGCCAAAGAGGGTGCACATCGACCTTATGATACAAGGACGAGGCAAAGAAAAGAAAGAACGAGATTCGTCCGTTTTCTTTGCAGACATTTGAACATGACATTACAAGGTAAAACAAGTAGTGTCCACCACATTCGATGACAGAAAATGGAGAGCGAGACCTTCAAAGGTACAAACAAAGAGTAGTAAACGAGTCATGAAACAGAATATTAGTACAACTCAAGTTCCACATGTAAGAGGGCAGTCCCGAAGCATCTGTTTCTTTTTGGATGCGTCTAAAACATGTTGCAACCGTCAGAAACTTTTTAAGGGACAAAGGGGGAACGAGACTGGAAATGTTTTATCAGGATCTGAACTGGTCTGTCATTGCAGTAATTATCTCTGATAATTTCCCATACCCCAGGCGAGATTATAAATTCCAGGATTTCTTCACATGAAAAATCATGTATCTATTAGATATGTGAGCAAATTATTTTCTTAATGGACTCCTTGTTACTTCCTGAGCGAGAGGAACTCAAAGCTCCGGAAAGTATCCTCACGAGTGCCTCTAGTAGCTGCAGCACGGGTCTGGGATGATTTGATCTCATACCCTGGTTGCACTCTTTGAGTCGAAGTCAGGCGGCCACCACTAGAGAGTAATCGGCCCGAGCGACCTTCAGAAGGTTCTCCAGAGGAACTTGGCCTGCTACTTGAGATGATGGCTTTTCTTGAGGTACTTCCATATCGAGAAGAACTGCGCCCTTTTTCCGGCTCAGGTAGCTGAAAATTTATTGTCAGTCTAGATAAGGATTTTAAATACAAGCGAAGGAACTTACTGCACAGCTAAATGAATTTTGCAGAGACAATTGATTGGAAAAAAGTGACTTTATTTTCTGCTGCTTTTATTCTTGTTCAGAAGTGGAAATTAAGGGCCTCAACTGAAATACTAAAATTTAAAACTTTTAGAATCATACCCCAAAATGCTTCAAAATATGAAAGACATGTGGAAGCACGAAGCAATCTACAAGAAGAGAAACAAAAACAACTTGTCTTGATGGACAGCACTCTGCTATATTTGGGTTTGTAATTAATGAACTCAGAGAAGAAAGGATCTCCAGCCCGACTCAATACAAACTAGGACAAAAGGTCGATTGCAAAACACTATAAAAGTAAATGCTGAAAAGTCCTGGGCACCAAGGGAATAAAGATAACCTTATCCAACAAGACCAAGTGACAACATTTAAGTTCCAACAGAAAAATGCAATTAGAAGTATTTAGGTAGGTACTTACATTATCCAAGGTCTTGTTTCTGGAAGTATCATGTAGACTAGAACCAGCGACCCTTTTTGTTGAAAATGCTTCTACTGCACCTGAGAATCTTTCCCGAATCTCTTTTCCAACTGAATGTAAGTATTGCAAAACAAGAATTAACCACCAAAGGAATTGTGAAAAACAAACCGAGAAAGAAATTATCCAGCAGCGGGGAGTATAAAGTTACAAAAGTCAAAATCATTGTAGGCATCTATATGAAGTACAAGTCCATCTAAATTGAGGTAAAGGCATGTTCTAACCCATATCCAAGCTAGTGATTAGCATTCACAATCCCAAATGTGTATGACAGTAAAATTCTAAGAATAATCATAACTTAGGGTTTCAATAAACCTGGCACCAAAACTAATCCATTTTTGTGTATAGAAAGCATACCTGAGACCCTTTCTGCTGGTCTTTCTGCAGATGGTCCGGCATGACCAGGTTTCCCACTAGAATGCTGAAAAAAGAGGCAAAAATTTTAAGGCATAACATCCTCTCCTTTCCCCCTCCGAAACTCATGTCCACAAGTTAAAACACTCACCCGTCCTCTAGAGCTGGCACCAATCTGAGGGTACTTCAAAACAGTCCAGTCAAAAACATAGTCAAACTGATAACCTGCAGCAGCAGCAGCATCAAAAATTCAAAGATTAGAGAGATACCAGCAAAATAACTCGACAAGAGCAACTGCTAGTATTTTACCTTCCCGAATAAATAAGTCCCGAAACAGCCTCTTCAAATATGAATAGTCTGGTTTGTCTTCAAATCGCAGTGACCGGCAGTAGTGGAAGTATGATACAAATTCCGAGGGGTGTGACTTACAAAGCATCTGTCACACAATATGGATTTACATTATCGAGTAGAAACATGAATAAAATGTATATCAGAGACCAAAATTACCCTGCAGTTTTCAAAATTGGGCTATGATCTAGTGCCCAAGACCATATTCAGTGAGAAAACGTGCACGCACCATAATTACATACTCCCTAACTTTACAAACAGTACATATGACACTCACATTTGGTGCAAACACTAAACTATTATTCATATGAAGAATATTGGGCTGTGCTAGTTGATGCTTAACAAGAAGCATCCAGCCTAGTCTGGATCCAACACAGGCAGTAATACTAATAGTTCATGCTTGGTTTTGCCAACTAACTGTGTCCATATAAAACTTTGGAACTAGCAAGCCTGTTTGGGATTATGGTAGTGGTTGGGGTTTAAAGTGCTTTTTGCTTAGAAATACATCAAAATAATATTTTTTTTTTATTTTTGATATCAACACATCAAAACGATCTGAAAACAAAAAAAAAAATTCAAAATTTAAGGGAACACGGTCCCAAACAAGGCCGTAACCAAATCCTTCATGAGGTCCCTTGCAAATTAATTGCATTATGATGTTCTCCATTATAATAAGGAATACATGGCAAATTACCTCAATAGGGGTTGAAACTTTCTTTTCGCTGATCTTATCATATTTTTGCTTCTTTGTGCCAGCCTTTAATCCTTGCCATGGAAGACTGAAGCAAAGAAATTGAATAAAATTAATAGGCAAAAATCACTATTCAACATCAAGTAGGACATACCACCCACTCTCCCACACAGAAATGATAACAAAAGAGGGTATGAATTCAAGTGCTTGGCTACTATATAATCAACCTGCCCCTTAAGAAATACATAAGCACATAACCAAGGGATTCCAAATCATCCCGTCTGCTTTGTTCTGCAAGTAGAGAAATAATAATTCCATCACTAATTCAAAAATAAATCTAAGTATCAGATAGTGAGTGCCTGTTGATAATTGGAAAATCATTATGAGAAAAAAAAAAATGACTTACCAACTCCAAGGTGAGTGTTGACACTTGCATAGCGAGCTGTGCCTGTAAGGTTCTTGTTCTCCCTGCAATGGAAAAACCTTGTAAGTTTCATAATGATATCATTTTCCTACACTTGCTGTAAACAATACAAATTAGGAAAAATAGATAGAGAGAAGCATGAACAAATACAAGAGATGTGACCACAAGAAGTAGAATAATCATCACACGCGAGAGAGATGTATGAAGGCTCTTTACATGTCACTTTGTTTTTTCTGTAAATTATTGCATTTATCTATTTCTAAACAGGGAGAGATTGCATAAAAACTGGCACAACAAATTTGCAAGAAGCAGAAAAGATCTAGTGGCAAAAGAATCAATGAGGTTTTTAGTGAAAATAAACTTGGGATCGAGCTGTAAGAGATTTTATATGATACAATTTATCATCAAGTACACAAATGTGATTATCCATGACTAAAAACCATAGTTAATGGAAAAGGAAGAACATCAGACACACGAAACAACTCACTTAACTCATCATCAAATCCAAAAGCTGCCACGAGGTCCATGCCATGACCAAAAATAACTTAAATAGGGTTGTTTTATTTCCAATAGATAACACTCTCTTTATTAGATATGTGACTGTCTTTGGGACTCTAAGGAGTTGGATCAAAGTTGTATGTGCCATAAAACCACACTTCAACATTAAGTTCCTCAAATCTTAACTTTCAGTCTGGTTCACTGCCATGAGCATGACATTACTTTTGTATGCTCATTACCTATGCACAAATCTAAATAAAGCTCGAGTTTTAATGCATAGAATAGGAGGTCAACTTGCTGAGTTCATCATTCTATTCCTAACATGAGCAAATATTGCAGTGATAATCATGCCTGGTGGAGTTTGCTGCTTTCTTATGAAACAGAAAATCTCACGGGAAAACCTAGTCTCCAACCTCTTCCAATCATTAAATCTTACTTCAGTCTTGTTCACTGCCATGAGCATGGCATTATCTTTGCATAAATCTAAATAAAGCTTGAATTTCAATGCATAGAAAAGGAAGTAAATTTACTGAGTTCATTCTATTCCTAATATGAGCACATATTGAAGTGATAATCATGCCTGGTGGAGCTTGCCGCTTTCATATGAAACAGAATCTTATGGCAAACTATAGTCTCCAACCTCTTCTAGTCACAACTATTCATAGGTAATGAGAAGTTAACTGTCGTGCTAAATGGATGACTTGT